TACATGTCTGTCCAAGCATCCTGTCAAGCCCCGTCAAGGCCCTCCCCCAGGTAACATGCGCGGTCCTCCTGTCCGCCCGCCCATGGGTCCAGCTGGTGGACCTCAGCCACGTCCTCTTTCGCCCGCTATGAACTCTCAAAGTCCTCGTCCCATGAGCCCTGGCCCTCGCCAAATGTACCCTAACGGTAACGCTCCTCAACAAGGACCCCCTCGTGGTCGTGCCAACAGCAATGCTCCTCAGCAAGGCCCTCCTCGCGGCCGTGCCAACAGCAACGCACCTTTTGCTGGCCCACAACGCTCCATGTCGCCCGGTCCTTACGGTGGCGGACCCCAGATGGCACCTCCACCTCAAATTGGTGGTCGCCAACGATCTAACTCGGCAGGTGGGGCTAGTAACCCACGACGTGGCCCAGCTCCTGGTCCTAGTCCTTTTAACCCCAATGCTCCCGCTCCTACCGGCCCTCTTCCTATTCCTGATCGGAAACCGGTTCCTGGTATGGCGCTGTAAGCCGTTGAGCCGTCAAAGTCAGGTGTCTTTTTTTATGAGGAACGTTTCAGCGGGCTCTTGTTCTGATTTTCTTTTGTTTCCTCGATCTGAGATTGTATGCCTCTAGATCTGTGGCTATGTATTTTGCTTGCTTAGCTTCTCTTCTTCATGCTTGCTTTGTCTCATTGACTCTTCTCTTTCTCTCATAATCTCTCATTCTCTTGTATGAAAGTTTAGCGAGTTTTACGAGGGGGGATTGGGGCAAGCAGCGGCTACTTTTGCCTGTTTGCTTACCATGTTTATACCCCCACCGAAGCCTCGTGTCAAACGCCTTGCTACGAGGTATGTAGTGAGGTCGAAAGCAGGCGAGGTCGAGTTTATTTTAGAAAAGAGGTCGAATAATGTCTTGAGGATATTTATAGTTTTCTTGGTTAAACCTGTCCGCTGGGAAGGGGTCATCTCGGATAGGCTGGATTAGTACATAACCCTTTTTTTTTCTTTGTCCCCCGTCTCCAGCGTCTCAGCCACGGCGTCGGCACAAAGTTCGCTTGTCCGACCCCTAGTTTGGTGCTGCTGGATAGTCTGGATTTGATAAGGGGCATTCGGGAATAAAAATGAAATACATCACATGTTATTCGCCTCGGAGAACTTGAAATCGCCCCCGAACGCAGCTTGTATCGCATGTTTGAAGCAAACGCTACTGGAATCCTTTTCCCACATCCAGCAACTCGTAATACTAAGCGAAAAAGGCTCCATGCACTCACTTGCCTGACGCAGTGGGTTGGGGTAATCAAGTCGTAACTCGATACATTTCCGCCCCCATATATCTCCATATTCCCGGGATCATCATCTCTCTATCTTTGCCAATCCTACATTGCCAAGTAAGGTAATCACACTCTACCAATCATCTTGAAACGAACTTAACCCATATTATATCGGGTGGGTGGCACAGCTGAGATGTTCCCGGACCCGAAAGCCATGCGAAACCACTTGAGAATGGTGGGTGGGTAGAAGGGCAAGTAGAACGGTAATAGTTAACGTCTGGGACAGGCAAGAGATGGATAGTCAAGAAGGAAAAAAGGGGCAACTATTGTTGATTCTCTATTCTTCAAGAACTATAGTTTAGTCTAGTGTAACCAGTATAATATCTCTACACATTACTTCCATCTTCTTTTCCAGAGCCAACTCTAGTTTCAACCATCTCTCTCTCTTACCCAACAATCCCATCATCTCCACACTTGTCCCCGTCACCCCGCGGAGCCTGCTGTAGCAACCATAACCCTTATCGCAGGGGGGAAAAGGCTAATTGCAACCACCCACCCATCCTCGAGTGGCTTCGGATAGCTCCCGGTCCGGGAACAACTCAGCTGGGCCACCCCCACATCACGACCTCAACTCCCTCTCATCCAACCTCGTCACCACCCCTGCCTCCACATCCGCCATAACCGCCTGCTCGCTCTTCTCCTCTACCATAACCCCGCCGCCATCACTGCTCGCCGCACTCTCCCTACTCTTCGACCTAATTCCTACAGCAGCTGACGGACTCAAACTGCGCAGTCGCTCAATAGGGATTCTACCTTGCAAGCGACTCGCAGTGGTAGGATCCAGTTCCGCCAGCGCAACAGGCGTGGCTATGCTGAGGAGCTCGCCTATAGCCCCCAAGTCCTTTTCAAGCGGGTAGGAAGACATTGTGTCTAAAGACGGTGGGATGTTCGGTTGAGCGGTATTCGGAGCGCTGGTGAGTTGTGGATGCTGCGAAAGTGGCATAACGGATAGTTCATGCAGCCAGCGGCGTGTAAGCCAGCGTTTCGTGCGCGACCAAGTCCCAAATTCCTCGCTGGCAGGATCATAGTCTTTGCCTAGCTTTGTCTTGTCTTTGTTGAACCAGCTGGTGATGAGGCGCCATTTCACGCTGCCCCACCAGCCCACGGGTACGACGTCGTCGCGCGGGCCGCGGCGGGTCCAGAGGGTGGAGTGGTCAGTGGCGAGTTCTTGGTAGAGGGCTTCGTAGACACCGCGGCGAATGGGGTTTTGGCGCTGGCTGGCGAGGCTGTGCTTAACGCCGTACCAGAGGATGAGGACGGTGAGGAGGACGGGGAAGGAGACGATAAACCACCATTTTATGTCGGGCATGGATTCGAAGGTTGAGACGTTCATACCGAAAAAGCCGACTGTGAAGGTGAGGGGGAGGAATCTGCGAGATGGTTGGTATGGGGAACTCGGTGAAGCATGCGGAGGGTATAAGAAGACTTACATGAATGTGATCCAGCTCAGGCGCCACATGCTGAGCCCTAGTTGGAGAGAGTGCCGAGCATCTCTAATCCCGACGCTCTTATACATCAGGTCCGACAAAGACGACGTCGGTAGAATGACATCTCTTTCCCATCGCCCAGTCAACTTTTCAATCTCCTCTGGCATGGGGCCTAGCCAGGCCTGGCCAAGTAATTCTTTGGGGTTGGTGCCAGCGACGTCATGCAAATGACTAACCATTTCCTTGACAACATCGAGATGAATGTATATCAGACGCTCAACCTTGAGCCACTGTGCACTGTTTTTCCAGAGTTCAGGGGCTCGCGACTCATCCGCAGGATTCTCGTAAACTGAAAGAAAAAGCTTATTAGTGAATCCGAATATAAGGTAGCATACTTGCTTCCAGAATTTCAAACTTACTCTTGTCTTCCAGAATCCCCACATGCGTTTCACATAATCCCATAAACTTTTGCCAATTATACGACAAAGCTTTGAAGATATCCTGGAGTATGAAATCCATACACTCGGCCGTCAAATTCTCTTCATTATCTGTGGGCAGATAGAAAGACAAACGTCTCCATCTCGATTCAATCTCCTGTCTTGCACCGACAAGAGTGTCCTTGACGGAGCCAGTGATCGAGTTCTCAAACAGGATAATTGTATTGCCATTGTCGAGGGACCTGAGTTTGGGAATGTACTTATCCGGTTGCTCATTGGCGTCAACGTTACCATAGCTTTTCTTCAGACGCATATACTCTTCCCATGCCTCTTCGTCATATGGATTCGGTATGTCAGGGTCGACAGCCTGTCCAGGCGTGCCGTCACTCAATTGCACATAGACACTCAGTCGCTGGACATAAACGTCGAAGCCGTATCTTGGCTGGTCCTCCCCATCATAGTGATTGAGTTCCATGATAGACTTGTTGCTGTCAGGGAAAGGCAGGCGTGTATACCTGTCGTATGGCTTCAAATAATCAGCGCCAAATGCAGCACGTGATATGCCTCGCCATGGGTCACGTGAGGGACGAAAAGTCCGGCCATTGAGCACAGGTTTACCACCACGCTGCTGTGGTTTCTCGCAATGCGCCCAGCGCCCAAAATTTGTGCCTATGAGGTCATCGTCGGCGTCGATGTTGAACTTGCGGAGAAGGAAACGCGTCGCCCAGCTAGCGTTTTGAACGTGGATGACGCGTAGAGCTGCTTGGCCGGCAAGATCCTCTTTACGGTAGAACCGGCGTAGGCTATCAACATCGCAGAATTCCTGAGCTACGATTTTCCTTCTGCCATCTGAATGTTCTTTGGCAACGTAATCTATGAGCAGTACGCGGCCTTGCTGCCAGCTATCCTTGGTCCACGGCTGGCGCCATTCGAGGTTGGGACTGTGCTTACGGCGGTGGCCAAAGGTGGCTCTCCGATTTCCCTGTGCCTGTGTTTGAGAATCTTCGGGGTTGACAGGTTCGCGCGCAGACGTATAAGCTCGTGGCGCTGTTTTAGCGGTCAGCAGTCAGTCTGAGCTGCGATTCGTGCCTTTCCTCAGCACAATACCTAAGCCGAAAAGCATCGTGATGTGACCAAGAACCAACAAATCTTTGGGCAGATTTGCAAAGATACTGGAAGTTTCCTTTGCTGCCTTTTTTTCTTCTCTTATTGGAACAACTTACAATCCATATCGTCAAGCTCAGGGCTCGGGGGCAGTTCTTCGTCTGTCGATGTATCCTGCACAGTGATGCGCGAGGGCAAATATGGGGAAGGTAGATTCGAACCCGAAGCTCTCGACTCGGACATGCTGTACCAGAAACCTCGCTCGGTCACTTGAAGTTGCACCGGCTTGGCTTACTTGGGCTTCATTCAAGGATCCCTAGCGAAAGGTGGATTGTACGACAACGATGCAGTGTAGTGGGAGGACAGCATCAAAGGTGGCATAGAGCAATTTCTGCAACGGGACAGTACAGTGGCTGTGCCACGGATATCGCAGGAGCGCTTGTCAGTCGCCATTGTGTGCGCGCATGACTGTGTTATGTTGTGTGGAAGTTGTGGCTGACACCTTCGGAAGGTAGTAAGGCTGACTAGCAGGAGCAGTCTCCACTCTGCAGCTAGGACCACCGCATGTGAGCCTCGCTGGCCCCACTACTAGGCGTCCAGTCCAGTATGCGGTTTGTTTGGATTACGAAATTAAAGCTATTGGGCAACATCATGTGCCACTTGTCACCGACGCCATCAAATGCAGGCTTACAATAGAGTATGCATGTAGCATCAAAGTGATAATTATATAATATTGAATATCAGATGACAGTATGTACATGTGTTTGTGATACCAAACGCCTTCCTGTACATTGCCATTACTGTACTGAGTACTGAACGCTCCAAATTACAATGATATCTTCCCCACGCGTGAGCTATTAGATCTAACGAGTAGAAAGTGCTGAGTCGGTGGTGGTCCTAAGGGGCCGAGTGAAGGTATAAAAACAACAGGTGGGTAGTATAGAGTCATGACATCGTGTCGGGTTGATGCAGCGCCAATAGTGCGCAGAATGGGTATTAGCAAAGAGACAAGGTAAAAAGCAAAGTCAGGAACTAAGGTTTTGATCCACTCAAAGGCGGATGACAGGAAAATGACAAGCGAATGCATAAAAGCAGAATCTCAATGGGTATAATCATTTGCACTGGCGACTGCGCTCATGTATCTCTTCGTCACTGAGCGCAGCCAACCAAAGACATTTGCTGAGAATGTGTGGTTCGGCCTTGAACGTATACTTGGAGCTGGCCTCGAGTAGACGCAGGAGGTTCTTGACAATAGTGGCGGCCATATGATGGCGGTCAAAGTTAACGAGGCGTTCGCCGTCGACTGGCGGTGCATCGATGAATGCAGGCTTTTGCGCGTTGTAGATGAGGTCGCGGGTGTAAACACCTGTTGGTGGTTAGTCGTGATCCGATTAATGTCATAACAATACTGACCAATGAATGGAATACAGCCGTCCTCGACAGAGGCTGTTTCCATCTCGAGTCGCAGGTTATGAAAGTTCTTCATGGGCTGGACTAAAGCTTCCAACTCAGTCATAACCAGCATCTCAGCCGCAGGGACCAGAGCCCAAGTCTTTTTGAGACTCGAAATGTCGTTGGATATCAAGGCGATCGCAATCTGATACATCGTGGCGTAATTGCGATATCGTCGGGCGTGGTTGGCGATATGGATGAACTTGGTGATACATTGGGCGCGTTCGTAAATGTTTTCGGTAAGCAGGCACTCGGATACAACCCACTTGACTACAAGATTGAAGCGTGCAATAACGACATCCACACCCCTGGCTTCCTCAGTTCGTAGGTATTGCACCCAGTCACGGATCTGTGGCGAAGATTGCTTCCAACGCAGTTCAATGAGCTCTTTCCAGTCAATCTCATCCAATGCATCCTTTTCGACAATGGTGAATTGTTGAGCGAGAAGGTCCGAATCGTATGCCATGACAAAAGGTAAATGAGTGGTTGGTTCCGGAGGGTCGGCAGGGACGGTTCGTGGCTCATCCGGAGAACTGGCTGGTCGCTCAGGCTGTGGATTCCCTTGTTGGTTGGAAAGTGAGACTGTGGGTGTAAGGCCAGGCGTCGGGAGACCTTCATCAAAGACTGTGGAGTTGGGCAAAGAATCGTGTAGCTGAGGAGCTGTGGGAGGAGGCGTAGGCGGATGACGCATGGGGTGGGTTGGCAAGTTGCCTGGTACACCCTCAGGAGTTTCTTGTTGACCATCCAGGAAATGTGCAGCAGATGTGGAGAAACCATCACTGAGATCTTCATCATCATTCATCAGGAAAGATTCGCGGACATAGGAATGTGCAGGCAGGGTTTCACCAGCGGGTATCCGCCTCATGCTGTCCGTTTCCTCGACGTATTCAATAGATGAATTCATTGACGAAGACGTACCAGGTGGCCGGCCAGCTTGCAACGGAAAAGCGCCAACTTGCAGAGGCGAAGGCTTAGCCGAAGATGCGATGGAATCTAGCGTTTGTCCTCGTTGTAGACTCGCCATCTCACTAAGATGGCGGTCGAGAAGGGGTATGGAAGAGTATGAGTCAGTTGATTCCCCAACGGAGGTGACTGGTGGCACACGACGATTAAAGTTTTCGGCCGACAGCCTATACATGCCTTGACCGTCAGTTTCAGGAGGAGCCAGCGGGCGATGGAAGACGTCATCAGTTGCAGGACGATTGTCGTGCTCGAAAGCATCGAGACGAGAACTCTGGCTGAAGCTCTGAGTTGCATGGTGATGTCCAAAATCAATCGTAGTTCTTTGTGAAGGTATACTTGGCGACTTCTTCTCGTATCGCCCCTCCAACTTCATTAACGCTGACTCGACTCCGCCTTCGTCATCGGTATCATCGGGTAAGGCAGCAAGTTTTGCTACTTCTGCCTCGAAAGACGGCCTGAGGTTGGGTTGGGAAGAGTGCGTATCCACCAAGGAGATTGGCTTTCTTGGAGTTTCTGCTTCGGGCGGTCCCTGAACCCCATGAGACAATTCAGGGTCTGAATCGATAAAACGGTCAGCGCGTAGGATGACAGAATTGGTGATAGAGTGTGTGTGATTTGACACAGAGCCGGTAGAGTACGGTCGCTGTACCTGTTCGAGATCATGCACATTGTCTGCAGCGCGGAGGTCACCACCGGGTCGTCGGCGAAGCTGTCGTGTTGGTCCAGCTGATTCGGCTGTCGGCTGACGATCAAGAAAGAAGGGATCGTTATCAGATGACATGGTCTGGAATGTAGCCACACTTGCGGGACCTCGTCTACTCAGCACACTGTTGTAAGAAGCATGGCGCCTAAGAGAGCCTGCACGTGCTAATGAATTCTTAAATGAGCCCTTGCGCCGGAAAGAATGCATCCCTTCTGGACCTGCGGACATGGAGCGTCTCTCCCTTGCATTGGACTGCCTAGTAGGAGTACGTGAGCGGCGGTACTCTTCTGTGGCAGCGTGGGGGTCTGGATCGTCATAAAGATAAGAGTGTTGTATCGAGTTGGCGTCGTCGGCTTGGGATTCGTCATTTGATGCGTCTCGTTGGTGACTGTCCAACTTTGCCGCTACCTTGTCGAGTTCAGTGGGCAAGGGGCCTGTAGTGGGCAGTGGTGGCGCCCCGGTATCATCAATGATGACAATCGATTTGCTGCCGCTGGTGATGTTGCTGTGCACACGAGGGTCCGGTTTACGCCGTGGTTGCTGATGGTCGTTCTGGGTTGGAGTTTCACGTCCATCAAACTCAAATTCGAAACCGTTAAGACTGGGAGCGTCGCCATCATTGAGTTCCTGCCCCTCACTTTGCAATTGCTCTTCTACCGCTCTTCGAAAACTTTCGGCTACTGTAGCTGCTAGAACATCGACCCGCATCTGAGGCCGCGGCCGAGTAGTACGCCGTTTCTGTACTCCTCCTGACATCGAGACGGCTGGGACGGCACCTGGGTTTGAGGATCGCCCATAAGGTGGTTGTCTCTGCTGCAAAGATCCGCTCAAATGGGAACCTACGCTCGCTTGCTGACGAGTGCTCAAAGCACGTCGGACACTGCCCAAAATTTTCTTCATGCCCGGTGAGTTGGCTTGCCCTGGTCTTTGGAGTTCGCTCACGTCGAGGTCTTCGGGCTCGTGGAAATGGCGAGATGGCGCGGTTCGTAGAGTTTTGACTTGGAAGTACGGAGTGGTTGGCTGGATGAGCCCGCCGCGCACAAGAGTGCCGGGCATGTTGGCTACAGCAGAAATGGTGTAATCAGCCGGTGTATTCTTGGGTATGGACAACGGGGCTCTGCTGTCTCGGAGGGCGTCAGAGAAACTGCCGCTACGCTTGTGGGCTCGGGCTGGACGTTGGCTGTTCTTCATAGACACTGGCTGCTGCGGGCTACCTGCTAGACGAGCTGTGGCAGTAGGAACGGGATTGACTGCTGGTACAGGGTGTGGATACAGAGGCAGTTCGACGTTCTGATCATGTTTGTTTACCCCCCGCTTTGGGATTGAGCAGGATAAAATGTGCATGCTCCGCTCACTTGCGGGAGATAATGGCACCTGAGCACTTTCATTATCCTGTGATGGTAGAAATGGAGTGCTCATTGAGTTTTGAGGCGTATGGCGAGATCTTTGCGCCCAGTCCATGTACCGACTAGCAAAGTGATCGCTTGGGTTTGATCCAATGGTCTCCTTGGTGTCGCGTACAGTAGCCCGCGGGGGTGTACTGGGCATGGGCTGAACGGCAGGGGGTTCTTCAAACAACATTTGCGATCCCTCGTCTGTACCTCCTGGAAGTAACGGATCGTCTGCATAATTGCGGCCCACAGGGTCATTTGTTTCCCAGTATAATGCACAAGTACGTCTCCAACACTTCTTCAGCTCACCCACAATGTTGATATCTCCTCCGCCTCCGTCTTTACGAGCACGCAGATCACTGTACAGACTGTTGACAAGGTCGCAGAAAATGACTCGTAGGCGGTAGAGTGGCATGAAGTCATCGACAAAGTAATTGAGGATCCAGTGCCGAAGGGCTACAAATGTGCGCACGCGGACAATGCGACCGAAGTCATCCTGGCGGTCGACAGCCCATCGCAACCGGGCAATGAGGTATGCGACTAGATCGCGGGAGCACAGGAAGGCTCGGAACGTGAGAAAGAAATCGGACAGCAGTTCGTAATCGAGGAAACTTGGCGAGGTAATGTGAGCGACTAGGCGGGAAGGCGTGGCTGCAAGGATGTCACCCTTAGCATTGAAGCGTACCACGGCCCTGTCGTCGGGGTTCAGGGTAAGCGCGTCGTAAAGGCGAGGGCCAATTGGAAAGTGCGAGACACGAGCAGACGATGGGCCTGAGAGGGGAATGGGCGGGCGGTCCATGGTAGCGCGAAAGCGGTGGGGTACTGGCGAATAGGCATCTGAACGAGTACGCGATGACAGGAAGGACTGTCTGGCGCTGTGCTGGGTGACGAGGAGGGAATTGGCAAAGTCCTCGGTGCCCGAGGTTCCTGTGTAAATTGAGCTGCGCAAGTCGACGGTCCCGCGTGTGCTGAAACGCGGAGTGCCCAAGCGGTAATGCGGAATGGGCACCTGCAGCATGGGGAAGGAGGAAGTGTCAGCCGTCTTGGGCCGAACATGCCCCGGGCGTTCGATGACGACCTTGAAGGTGCCTGGCTCGTTGGTGAGGGAAGCGGGGATATGGTCGTCGGCAATAGAGAAGGAGTGGGAGCGCGTGTGTGCGGAGTGGGGGGGGTATTGGGTGTTATTTTGGTGGTAGTTGTGGTGGTAATGGTGGGAGTAGTGGGCAGCGACTTCGTCTTCGCTCAGACCTGGTAGCGGTGGTGAGGGCTCCGACTGGGGAGATGAAGAGCCGTAGAAGCCATGGTCGAGGTCATCACTCAGCGGGCGCAGCGTGTCGCGAGTGGCGCTGTCGGGGGGAGTCTGGGGCGGGAAGACGAAGGCATCTGGTTGCGAGCGGCCTCGCTGGTTGCCAGGGCGCGCCACGGGCCTGTGAATAGAGAGTCAGCGCCAGTAGCAGTAGCAGTAGCAGTAGCAGTAGCAATTGTCGTCGTGGCCATTGTTGTTGTGATTAATGTCATGTCACTATGGGCGGTGGTCTGTGTTGGTGGGTACTGCGTGTATTGCGGGCTGCATACCTCAGGTAGATGACGCCGTTGTGCACATTGGCCACCGTGTAGGAGCGGCCAGCAGCGGTCGAGTTGCTGGTGGTCGTGTCAATGGTGGCATTGCTGGTGCCGCGCGCCCGTGTCCTGCTCTTGAGTTGTTCGCGCGAGTCCTTGACCCGTCGCAGGCGGCGCGAGTCGTCGGCGCGCCGTTTGGCATTTTCTGAGGCTGCTCCGGGGGCGGTAGCAGCAGCAGCAGCAGCAACAGTGGCGGCGGCGGGCAGGATGTCGCGTTTCGCAGTGTGGACGGGCGAGCACGGTGCAGCGATGTCACTATTGTTCTGAGGCAGGGCGGGTAGGGCCATTGTCCTCCATAGTCGGCCTGGATGCGGCGAGGAGCATGTGTAGAACAAACAAGACGAGGTCAGGAGAGGGCGATGAGCATGGCTGTCGACGGGTGACGCACAGAGGGCAGAAGATGAGTGAATTTGGCCGGACACGACGAGCAATACATGGACGAGCCAGGGCTCTCAGGGCTGCCCATTGCCCGGCCAGACGCCATCCGCCATCCGCCATCCGCCATCACACCAAAGCGCCCATTCACCATGCAGCGCCCGCCCTGGCCCTGCCGTTCCTCGGATCACTCCGCTGCCCCCGCTGCCCATCCGGACGTAGTAAGTAAGCATAGGCCCTGGTCGATGCTGCCCATCTCTACTTAGTACATGGTACATATCCTCTGCGCGTCCGTGTACTTAGATACGTACTACCCACCCGCTGCCGTCTACTGACCTACATGCGTACTATACCATGGCTTCGCCGTGTATACCGCCAGGCACTGCGCATACTATACTACACTTGGCCCGAAGCATACGACACTGCATAGCGCCCCCCGTCGCCTCTTTGCTTTTGCGCCTGCTGCTGCTCTTCCCCCCGTCGGCCTCGCCAGTCAGGTCGCGGGCGCAGGCTAGTCACCCGCTGGTCGAGGCTATAAACTGGTGCGCTATTACGTCGGGAACCAAGTCGCTCGTCGCGTGGACTGGCAGGTTCATCCCAACCCCCGCCTTACTTGGACACAACGGCCACCAGCACAGGGCAGCAATCAACTCTCCACTGTCACACCAGCTCCCGCAGAACCATCCACGCCAACACCGTCTGTCGAGCGTGTGCGTGCGTGCGTGCGTGCGTGCGTAGTGTTTGTATATACACTTGGCTGCAGTGCCAGCTCAAGTACACGCCTCCACACGCCGTTCTCACGTGCGTCGCCGCTCACATGGGCGATTGGCCGCCCCAGCATCTCGCCAAGCCCCTGATGCTAACAAGCTTGTTATCGCAATCCCTCTGTCTTTGCACACCAACCAAGCCGGCTCATTTCCCCAAGCGCCATGCCTATCTATCTGCCTGCCTGCCATGCTGAGACGTCGTGATGGCTGCCCCGCTATGCTTCCGCACAAGCAGGGCTGTCCTCGACTTCAATAACGAAAACCCCCCCCCCCCCACCTGCCGCAATCTCCTAGACCAGTGAACCGCCCTAGTCAATACTCCACTCCATCTATCCTGACTCGGCAGAAGCTGTCGATTGCCCTTGTTGCGTCACACTCACTCACCAATACCCTCAAGGGTCGTACCCTGCACCTTCCTCATGCCTCAAAGGCTACTGCACGACATCAACCATGGTACGCTTGCTGTCAACACCGCCACTTCTCAGCCAGTCAGGCCCTCGCATCAATACACACCCACATGCATCTTTACACATGTACATACTTACCGGCACTCTCACTACAGCTCCTAACCCCAACTACTCCCCAACTCAGGCCTGTCGCGACAACTTCCCTTATCCTGACTGCGCATAAGTACCCAAGTACACTCGTAATGCTACAAATCATGCGCACACACACACCATGGTCAACTCATACGCACGTACGCTGTGAAACAGACCATGTACTATCTATGGTAACGATACTATGCATTGGGGCTGTGGCCCACGTTGCGCCAGGTAGCCCAACTGGCCCGCCTTGGGCATAAGCTGCAGAACTACTCGAGTTCGCTCCAAAAGGGTCCGGCCCGAATACAAGCCAAACACCCCCTCACCAAATCAAGTCGACATGATTCCCTCTCCGGAAACATGGACTTCTTGGCTACCGACGTCGGGGCGGGTGACTATCCATTAGTAAGTGACTACCCACTTACTATCCGTGCTCTACCATTGAAATTTGATAATGCTACTACTTGCCATGAGACCCTGTTACACACAACGTCGCGGCAAAACGCATGTGCATAGCAAATTACACGGTGGACCAGATCGGCACTTTAAACTTTATCCCCCTTCCGTTTCTAGAAGGGATACGCACTCTCTGTCTCTTCCTCCCCCTCAACAACGACTCCGCGCTCTTTTTGCTCGGCATGCTTCCTGTCCAGGTACTCGAGCAGAACATCGCCATACCTCTCCTTGCCCTTGTACCGGCTGACATCGTCGCCCCAAGACCGGATGGCGCTAGCTAGTCGGCCGGGGACACATGGTTCCTCCGCAAGGCTTGTGATTGGACGCATATAAGTTCGTATAGTAAACACGACACCACCGGACCTGGGTAGTCTGTTCAAAGTTAGATGCAATGCCTTTAAACCTTGAGCCAATCTGCAAAATAGTTGAAAGTGAAGGAATACAGATAAAAGTAAAATAAGAATAACGATCGCAACGTACCGTCTCAAACTTTGTCGTTCGCTCCGGAAGTAGTGATGCTCAATCGCCTTGTTCTTCTCCGCCGTAAACCATCCTACCTCTCCCTCGGCAGTAGCATCTTCACTTCCTATACTCTCGCTCCACGCTAGCCCATCGTCTACCTGGATAAAGTAGTTATTGCGTAGCATGGGGCTCTGAGGCTGAATCCGACGGAAGAAGTTGACCATGCCTTTTTCCAGTTTCTCCCTGAACCTAACATGATACGTTAGTAAGTACCATCCCCATCAGAAGAACAGGAAGAAGAAAAGAAAAGAAAACTCACCCCGGCACATCCCCACTCGTATGAATCTCACTCAACCCCATCCCAAACTTATCCCCCAACCTCCAAAACCCAGGCAACAAAATCGCCCCGGCAACAAGATAATACTGCCCGTCCTCCCTCTCCATCATAATCGCAAGATCATCCTGCACCATCCGCGCACAAAGACTCATCGCATCCTCTCTCTCCCCATTCCTTTCCAGCCGTTGGACATCAAACACCTCTTGCGTGGCTAAATTCCGCATTCCAGTCTCCGTCTTGGAGAATAAAGTGGGATACCGCTCCGGCAGATACGCAACCAGTTCCTCAGCCAGCTCGCGCGCCGCATCCGCCGCTTCAGGCGCGGTGCGGATGCATTGGTCGCCGCGGGATGCGATGCGAGTCGCTTTGAGAGAGTGGTAGTGCAGGTAGTCCGAGTCGAGTTCGATCCAGGCGTCCCAGGGCATGCTGCGGAGGCCCATGGTGATGTTGTATTTGGGGCCGTGGCGGAAGGGGCGGTAGGGTAGGGGTGGGGTGTTTGTTAGGGACCAGTTTGGGTAAGGGGAGGCGGTGGGGCGGGTGAAGGGGTGGGGGTGCCATACTGGGTAGGGTTAGAATTGTATGTTTGTGTGAGAGGAAGAGGAAGAGAGGGTGGTTAGATAGTTACTTGCCTCCGAATGTTCGGTCGGGTGCTCGGAATGGGGATCGCTTTTCTAGATTCGGGGTACTGGGTTCGTTGTTGTTTGCTTGGTTCTTTCTTCTTGTGTTGCGCACGTGACGTGTGAATGATAGGGTGAGCCAGATACACGTGACGAAGACGAGGCCGGTGTATAGGATTGCTTTTGGCGATAGTTTTGCATCATCGAATGCTTTGTACAACTCAGTCTTGGCGTTGGAGTAGTGGTGTCGCGCTGCTCGAGCGACGAGTCCGGCATGCTCTCCAAGCCGAGTGCCCAAGTCAGACATGATGAAAGTGCCGGAGTGGAGCAGTCAGTTCGAAAATCAACAGCTAAATTCAGATGAGATATCAATTGATCTTCGAAATGATCAGAGGGCGAGTCAGTCCAAATAAGCAAAGTAAGAGACAGCACACTACAGATCACGGCGACATAGTCATGCACAGCATGCTGCACAACTTCCTTTTTCTATTATTTAAGTTCCGATTCGATGCCAGTACATATCAGGTCTGCTGAGATAAGACTTGTCACAATGTGGGGTTGCCCGCACCACTGTCGTCAGTACCCGTTTATCTACATGCCGGGGCGGGGAAAGCAATACCCTACTCGGTTTAGTGGGGTGGGCAGACATGCACCGCGATAGCAACTCAAGACCTCTCGGGGGCGGGTGATAAACTTCTCAACATCCAATGCCTTGCGTGCATTCAAGAATTGCGCACGTGGCTAGTAACAAGCTCCATACCGCGCCCTTGTTACCATATCCCCAAGTAACTTGGCTCGGATATAACCTCAGAGTATCCAATGGCTTGGTAACACCGCAATCTCCCCGACAGCCAGATCGCTACCTCTTTAGTCGTGCTGTATTTCCTCTATTTCTTGCGTCGTAACAGACAGTATTCGCCCCATTTGCGCTGGAATTTTGCGGGTATGAAGGGCAGGTCCGGAATCCAGAGCGTGCGACTGACAAAACTCGACTCACTTGCATCAAGAAATGGGAGGCATTGCAGAGTTTCCCATTGCTCTGTGTCGGAGATATAGTCGGGCTCAAGCTTTGTTGGTGGCATTCCAGGAAACCGTGAGTCAACCAGGAAGTCGCAGTGCTGGGTATCAATCTACGTTACGGTTAGTGGGTCCATTGGGATGGGAGTCCATGTATTACTCACATATTTCCCGGGGTCTTCACGGTTTTCATCGTTCATTCCTATGGGTACCATCCATGTACCCGGGAACAATTCTGATCCCATTTCGCCCTCGCTGAACTCGCCAGGTAGAAGTCCAGAAAACTCGCTTTTGATGAACTTGGCACGAACACCTGATGGTAAATGGAAGGAGGATGGAAATCGGTACCACTCTTTACCCAAGCACACCATGTCTTCTGGCATGCCTTCGATGCGGACGAACTTGGGGTCAAACAATGGTTTGTAGACGTTCAGTGGCGCTGAATAAGCCGTGATGTGACCTGATTGGGAAATTAGTTAGTAATACATCAAGACATGGTCAGCTCCATCCGAAGAGTAACAATCAGGTTGTCTGAAGCTGGGGGGCAAGTCGAGTAAAAGATGCAACATACCAATGGTGCGGAGCATGCCCACGTTGAACGACAAAAGCAGTGGTACACAAACGATCGTAAGCTTCACCATGGGAGGGATACGACTGACTAGGTGTCGTGAATCCATGGAGCCAAAGTTGGCGAGGAATATGTGCAACGATAGTGCAGCATTCCAGGCTAGTGCAGGATATGCTGGGTACATGAACCGTTCCTCTTTGTGAGGCTGGACAGTGAATATCGCCAGCCATAGATAGAACGGGCTGACAAAAACCACGGATCGCCTCAGTGTATGCTGAGAGACAGATTTCTCGAACACGAGATATTGAATAAGAAGCAATGGCAGGGCAGCCAGAGCAAGGAAAAACCAAATGTTGAAGTTCAAGGCCAAGTTGCGCACATAAAAATGCCATGGCTCTACTCCGTAAATGTCAGGACCTCTGCTGCCGCCACTGAAGACATTGTACAGTACAATGTTCAATGGCACGCATACTGGTTCCCTGTAGAAGAATGAATCGATGCCTGCTTGCAAGGCGAGAATGGCCAAGGCACTTAATCCGCCTTGAAATATCAGACGTTGCAGACTTTGCAGGATTGTGCCTGTGACGAAGCTCACAATGACATCCTCGAGGATGAACGGCAAGGCAAGGGCGCCTGCAAAGGGCCATCCAAGAGCGCTGCCAATAGCAAACCACGTAATTCCACGAGCAGTCTTGATCGAGCCGCCATACCAGTCCATGAAAGATGCGAAACCTAGCATGGCAAAGTACATGGCAAAACTGGACGGCAGATATGCAGGAGCAGCATGATACATGCCTGGGCTGATAGTCATGATGATCATGAAGAAGATGGCTATGCGCTCCTGGAATGTTTTCCGGATAGCGGAATACATACGAGCCTGGCATAGAGCGCAAAAGAGGGCCAGGACTACGCGTAGGAAGTAGAACTCGATGACCTTTGATTCTTGGATGCCAAGAAATTGCAGAGGCCACGTGCCGGCCCAAATGATGAGTGAATGGATGGCAGTGTAAGTCCAGCTTCGGATGGCATACTCTGGAGAGTATTCCCATGTTTGGAGACCATAGCCATGATTGAGGTAATGACTAGGTTCCCAGTAGTTGAAGACCTCGTCACAGTCCTGAATGGGCGAGAAGGCGGCAGCGGCTAGATTGGCCACGGCAAAGACGCAGAAGGCGCCGAAAGCAGTGAGTGAAGGGGGTCTTGTAAGTAGGTCAGTGGATGCATGTCATCAGGAACGGGTGTCCCCTGAGCCGTGGTGTCTAGACGTACCTGGCCGCATGCGAAGGCGCTGCCTTGGAGCGTGTGGCAGACATGGCGGTGAGGCAATGGCAGCAACTATCTCCGTCAACTCTGAGCAATAATAACGGCAAGACGTCCAGGGCGGTGCATGAACGAGATCGCCCGTTCCGCGTTCACCCGCGTCATAGGGCTGAGGTCGTGCCTGCCCGCCAAGCATACTAGCGCGCATCAAAAAAGGCGACGTTCTCCCTGGATCCGCTCTCCTGTCCCAGAACAATCACCGCACGCAATAAAAGCAAACGGGTGCAGACAACGCAGTTGATATACCGCAGTGATCACGCGCGCTTCAGAGAAGACTGCAGAGAGAGACACTCGAACATGTCCGACTCTCTGGAACCGCCGGCCAAAAGGGCGCGGTTGGAGGCGGACGCTCCCACACAGTATGGCACATCAGCATCCTCTGCATCTGCGCTGGACGCGCCTGGCTCGCCTGTCGATGACATGGACGACGATTTTTACGACACTACGCCAGTCAAACCTTCTGCGCTGCCTACTGCTGTGGACGGGACGACAGCGTCGTCGTTTGCAGCGGTTGCACCCGCGCCAGCCTTTCACCTTCCAGGACTCGGCTCTACGAGCGAGGCCCCGGTTGCGCAGCCGCAGCCGCAGCCACACGACGGCGCGGCAGCCCAAGATGAGCCAGAAGACGGCGAGTTTTCGGATGGGGAGGCCTTTTACGATGATGCCAACGCGAACGCGCAGACCGGCATCCCAGTCGAGCCGTCTGCAGCCAATCAAGCGCAGGCCCAGCATGATGCTCCACAGCAAGGTATGCCGTTGCCCTCTGAGCTGCCTGGTGCAAACTTGACGTCTACCCAAGACGCTGCTGCAGCAGCAGATACCCCCGCCGCCGACACTGACGGCGAGCTCGACGCGGCACTTACTGCAGCCATAGACCAACAAAACGAGACTGAAGATGCTTCACCTGAAGGCGCTACATTCGACAGCAAGGCCGAATTCTTGCGCGTGGCGGAAGCAAACAGGGGTGACCAGAATGCTGAATGGCAGCTGGACTCGGACGCCTCAGACTCGGACTCAGAATCTTCTTCCGACTCGAGCTCTGATGACAGCTCAGACGAGGGCGAGCTGCTGGATCCCGAGGAGCAGGTGCGCCTCCTTATGGCTGAAGTCGCAGACGATGCAGGCGCCTCGGGCCTGGTGAAGGTCAAGACGCTCAATGAGATGGATGAGAAATTCGAGAAGCCCGACATCACTGTTACAGAAGACACCAAAATCACAGAACTCGGCAAGGTTGAATCAATTGTTGGAAATCTAGTGGTTGTGAAAGCCAAGATGTCTGGAGATGAGCAAGTGCTTGAATCTGGCTCGGCGCTCTGTCTGCAGAACCGCACTGTTGTCGGCAAGGTGTCTGAGCAGATTGGCCGTGTTGAAGAGCCTCGCTATTCATTTGGTTTCAATGATCCAGCTGAACTTGCGACTTTAGGTATCGAGAAGGACACACCTATTTACTATGTTGACGAGCACTCAACCTTCACCGAGACTGAGCCCATCCGCCGACAGAAGCATACCGATGCATCGAACCTCCACGACGAAGAGACCAACGAAGTCGAGTTTTCGGACGATGAGAAGGAGGCTGAATACAAGCGCGAGCAGAAAGCCAAGAAGCGAGCCAGAGCGGATACCAACGAGGAGCAGGCTCCTGTGAACATACCTACTGGCCCGAGACTACACGTCGATGCTCCAGCACCGCCTATCTACCGACCCATGGAGTACCAAGGTGGTGGGCTTAAATACAGTGACGATGAAGATGAGGATTTGGGGATGTACAAACCGCTTGCTCGACCGGACCACTTTGAACAAATTGTTGGTCAGGGTGCGCCACTTGAAGATCGTAGCCATGTACGAAGAGGCATGGGTCGCGGCAGGGGTCCATGGGGCGATCGAGGTCGCGGATTTCGTGGCCGGGGAGGCGCTGGTGGACGCGGCGACTTTGGTGGTGCTCGTGGCGACCGAGGAGGATACGGCGGCGGCAATGGCGGACGTGGTGATTTCGGAGGAGGTCGTGGTGATCGTGCAGGACAACGGGGCGACCGCGGGGCTCAGGGCAACAGTCGAGGCGACAAAGGAGGGGGTGAAAAGGGCGGACGCGCAGGCAAGAATCAGTCTGACCGCGGCAAGCAACAGGAGCAGTTTCAACAGAACAACCAGCAGCAGAGGAACGGGCCTTACCAAGACAACCGATCTGCTACCTCTGCATCTCCGGCACGCCAGCAACAGGACCGTAATCAGTCATACCCTCAGCAACCCCCTTCGCAGCAGTCCCCCTCTGGAGGTGGTGGCAAGAACAAGAACCGCAAGCAGCGACAACGTGAGAAGAGGGAGCGAGAACGCCAACAGCAGCAGCAGCAACAACAACAACAACAGCAGCAGCAGCAACAATCCCAAAACAAGCAACAAGAGAATGCTTCTCCAGCACCTTCCGGGCCTTCGAATTCTAATGCCT